ACACTTCTTCATATTACAGCACATGATATCGAGCAAACAGCCCCTGGCCTGGCACGCCAAACTTACATGAAGGGAGCAATATGCAATAAGACTTGCGAAAACTTGGATCCATGTTACAATGTCCCGATACCTCCTGAAGACCCTCGTATGCAGAGCGAGTGAGGTTTTTTCATGTAAATTAGGGAACCTGAGACTTGTACTTTGAGAACTGTAGTTTATTAGAATAATGAAATAAAAATGATTTATGAAATAAATCTGATAAAAAACGTTTTGCTTGGTTTATCGTTAAATATTTATCTTCTACTTACAAAACTTTATTTTTCAAGTTTAGGAAAAGGTCCGAAATCTCATGTATTGAGGTGGAGCGATCTAGTGCAACCTGTGGTTCCGGCCAAACTGGTCCGATTTATCGACAGCTTACTTATCGTGAACAAATGAACATCGTGAGTTCGCCACTGCTTACAATCAGATTTAAAAAAAGTATGACTAGAAATATAGGAAACTATTCATCTAAAAAATGTCTGTTATTTTTCCGATTACATAAAGTGTTTCAAATGGAAAATTCTTAGAACTTCTCCGTAGCGACTGGTTTCTTTTTTAAAATTCAGTAAATTAAGCAATGTTTCAAATTTTGTTTTTCAAGTTAACTGCCTTTATCGATGGGTCTGGTATCTATGGTAGTGCAGAAGTAGATGCACTGAATTTACGTGATTTATTCGGTGATCACGGACTGCTGAGATTCGACATTGTATCAGAAACTCAGAAGCCATATTTACCGTTTGAGCGCGAGTCGTCCATGGAGTGTCGCCGTAATCGTTCCCATGAAAATCCGATCAGTTGTTTTTTGGCCGGTGATTATCGAGCTAATGAACAGGTTAGTGTTATATATAGGTAGAGTAGATTTGACAAGTATTTATAATAATTTATACAAATGTATTTATTAATACAAATAATCACATATTTGTAAGTTTCATTTTCTTTCAGGATGTTTCGTTTTCTCGTTTCTTGTAGCTTGGAGGCTTGAAACCTGAGAAGAAAAAAAAAATTAGGATGAGGAAAGTCCGAAGAGAAACCTTTGAGTTCAGGGACTCAATTCTAAGATTTTAGAATTACTTTTTGTAAAATGTGATTCTAAAATTTAGTTTCATTTTATCTAAATACGTTGTATGTTTTATAATTATAGCTGGCACTGCTCAGCATGCATACGTTATGGCTTCGAGAGCACAATCGTATCGCAACGAAATTTTTGGAAATAAATCCGCACTGGGATGGTGAAATCATATATCAAGAAACAAGGAAGCTTATTGGAGCTATGTTACAAGTTATTACCTACGAACATTGGTTGCCTAAAGTGCTTGGATCGGTATGATTGTGACGTTTTAAGTAAAATATACTCGATCCCAAAAGAAATGTGAAGCAAATTTTTGAAAACAATTATTTTAGGATGGATATACAGAACTTATTGGGCCATATAAAGGATATGATCCAGAAGTGAACCCTACATTAGCTAATAGCTTCTCGGCTGCTGCCTTGCGATTTGGACATACAATTGTCAATCCAATTTTATACCGCCTTGACAAGGATTTTGAACCGATTAAAGAAGGTATGTTAGTAGAAGAAACTTTAATCGTAATTTTCGATGATTGTTTCTGAGATGTTACCAAGAGCTCTAGGAAATTTATTTCACATTTTACATATCTCTAGTTGAAACATTGGTTGTATTTTCAGGTCATATACCGCTACATGAGGCTTTCTTCGCTCCTGAAAGATTACTATCAGAAGGCGGAATTGATCCTTTGTTGCGGGGATTATTCGCAATGCCCATGAAGGCTCCGAAGGAACAACAACTAGTAAACAAGGAATTGACGCATAAACTATTCAGCCGTGTCGAAGAAGTATGTTGTAGATCAGTAATTTATGAAATGTCACTGTTTGATATAAATATGGTTCTGTTTCAGTTAAATAATGGAATCAGACGGTTGCTCATTGATGTTGTTGCAAATTTAATATAAATTGTGAAAGTCTATCCGACGTCGACATCAACATATCTTTCATATTTTAGTCCATGTACGATCTGGCAACAATCAACATCCAACGCGGCCGTGATCACGGATTGCCCGGGTTTGTCCAATCGCTAATAGTTTTGCTGGATGTGAGCTACGGGCTGAAGAAGGCGGAGAAATTTTACTACATTCACAAAAGACTTCCACAATTTAATTTCCAAAATCTATATGTTTTCAAAAATGCGGATTAATTTTTATCTTATCTCCAGAAATCGGCTGGGATGATACCATTTAGTAAGATTAAATTAGTTTATTGCAATCCATTTTAGAAATCCATCATGCTCGACCCCTTATAAAGAAAAAAGTTGATTTAGAAGATATTTTAAGGTATATTGCATTTCGGCGTTGGTGCAACTTTAGCGTTCCAGAGACATGGGATGATTTAGCAGATGATGTGCCGGATAACAATGTACGAGCTAAACTCAAAGAACTCTACGGGCACCCTGGTTAATTTCCGTTTTGAGATTACAGTTAGCACTCACGACTTTTAATTTCGTAATTTCCGTATATTTTCCGACTCACTGATACCTCCATCATTTTGAGGTAATATTGACTTATGGGTGGGCTTAATTTTGGAACGACGGTTAGCTGGAGCTTTAGTCGGGCCAACAATTGGATGCATCCTTGGAGACCAGTTCAGGCGCTTACGTACGGGAGATCGTTTTTGGTTTGTTTCCTTTTAAAAATTGTTTGTCTTTAAAAGACCTAACACCAAGAGTGATTTTTTAAACATTCAAACGATCTAGGAAATTGTATAAATTACAGGTATGAAAACGAAGGTGTTTTCACGCCTTTACAGCTTCAGCAAATTCGGAAAACAACACTAGCAGCTGTCTTGTGTAACAATGGTGATCACATTGATCGCATTCAGGTATTCCTTCGCAAGTTTTTCCAAAAAACTTTGAAGACTTGGTAAATTGGGGTTTTTGAACAGATGTTTTTAGAGGGATGTATTCGAGTACAGAGGAGATCGGTCTATTAAATTTTATGAAGACTGTGAGTTGATACCCCAAATTAATTTAAATGTTTGGCAATCATGCTGCGAGAAGGGTTGCGCTTTTTCATCCAGCGCAGAGGAAAGTATAATCCAAAACAGGTAAGTTAGCTCCAAAAATTTCTGACTAATCCTTCTCAGGAAAGGAACAGAAGTCCGTAGTGGAACGCTTTAAGTGTTGTGGTATCTTCAGAAAACGAAGAGCACATAAAATATATGGAAAACATACGTGTAACGCTAGTGACGGAGTAAAGAGAAATGGCGATGTTTGGAAGCCGGATCAGTGTACAACATGTGAATGCAAGGCTCGTTATTCATGGACTTATTTCTCAGAAATTTATCGTTTTATCACAGGGTTTTTAAAGTTTTGTTCAGAATGTGACCTAACAATATTTTAGATTGACCAAATCTGGTGTTCAGTTGAAGAAGATTGCAGAAAAACATCAACATAAAATGGTATAAAGTCTTCCGAAACTTTCACATTATTGCTTCCATCATATATTGTCCCTTTACTCTATAGTTTTTGAGAATTTACATATTGTAGAAGGGTTTTGCATAAATTTGCAAAGGGGTCCCTTTACTGAAACACCACACTTTGCGATTATGCAAAAAACGCTTTGAATATGACTTTCTTTACCTGTGAAAGCGATATGTGAATGTATGACATATCTATTAGTATCAACTGAGTCGCAACCTCTCGAAAACATCAGGATGGTTAACGCTCACTGAAAAGGAGGAAGTAAAAGAGAGACTCATATGTCGGTTAAGCTGCTGAATTTTTCAGATTTATGAAACTTTAAACACTCTTCATTGCAAAAGGAGCTGTAGGAACCTCTTTAAAAAATCAAGATCCAACTGAATTTTTTCTTCCATCCAATAACAAAAAATTATTTATGCATATATTAATGTCTAGAAACTTGGAGTAATGAACCACATTGTAATGGAATCCTCTAGTATAATTAAATTAAAAAAATGAAATATAGATCTGAATTCATCGTGCAAATACCAGTGGTGTGCTCCAATAAGTTATTTACGAGTTAAAGAGTGAACTGAGAGAAAGGCACATTAACACGTAAACTGCAATATAAAACAGAATTTGAACTACGATGAAAAGTTGGAACAAACTGAACAGACATGAACAAATTCATAAAACAAATCATTCCATATAATCAGCAGGAAAAGCTACACAGGACACAGCTGACGCAATGAGTTTCCATAATTTATGACGCGAAAAGATAGTAGTCGATCATAATATAAAATCCCAAAACATAGTCCAAATCATCCTAAATTTTCTAATTTTCGAGTTTTTGAAATGAAGCAAAATTCTCACGTATTAAGTGTCCTCGTAACAATGCAAAAAAGTGTGCAGTGTCGGTAACAGCTGGATGTGTCCCAGAACTTTCAAGCACACTGAGATGGCAATGTCCATGCAATTCGAATAACAATGACCTAATCTGAATGTAACTAAAGGAGGGACTGAACTCAAAGGGAACTTTTTCGGGGACAGGTGCACGTCGCTATCAACCTATGATGCTTCGTATTGAGAAATGTGCTACATCCCATTAATGGATAATTTTTATGCATCTAATCAGCTTGTGCTAATTGGCTGTTTGAATAGCCTGCAAAAAAGCCTACAATAAAACGGAAAGCATTCGAGAATTTAAAAATAAAACTCAAATTTATAAGTAATAAAATGCTTATGGAAAAACTCATCTGCTGATAAATGAATAATAAGTACACAACTTACCGTAGTAAAAAACTAATCGATGAACGGTTGACACTATCTTATTACTTATCATGCTCATGGTCGTATATATGATTAAACCAATATATGTCAAACAGATGTAAACAGTACATTCCATTGCGAAAATATCATTTCTGCACTAACATCCAACCGAGACGTTTGCGAAACTTTTACGCTGAATGTATCGTATAAATCTTTTCTAATAATCTCTCTTTAAATTCCTCGGTTGCTGTTGAATATTCTGTCCCGGATAACGAACTCGATGCAATTGTCCGGAACCATCCGAATTTACAACACGACCTGATGTTTTGCTGCCACGTTTAAATGCCTGTCTTTCACGATCAACTTCCAAATCTTCCAGCCTATGAAATTTTAGACTTCTTAAACCATGGTGTAAAGTTTGTTTTAAATATGGAAATATAAAAAATCACCTTTGTGTAAGGGCCAATTTCTGCTGAATGGCCATACGCAGCAGAGAATTCAGTGTGCGTTTTTCATCTTCAGCTGCTTTCTGATTAGCGGCCATTTCATCAACCTACCAAAAAGTTTTCGCAAAATTTAAATTCAAAAAAGCAGACATACAAAACCATGGTGTAAAAGAACTGTCACAATCAATAAAAATCAACGTTAAAAAAGGATGGATGTGGTACCTGTGCTTGAAGCTCTTCGCAACGTGCAGTAAACATTGCCCGATGAGACGCAAATGTTGCCGCATCTTCTTTGAATGCTTTTAATTCGCGTCTCAACCTCTCCAAAAGCTCATGAGTCATTGCTTTCTCACTTTCATATTTTTCTTTCAGTGAAGCTAAAGCTGATTCAGCAGTAAGCTTGTTCGATTTCAGCACCGTACGTAGCGTGGCGATTTGATCCCTAAAACAATACACTTTTTCTTTATTTCATCAAGTATTTTACATGCACCTTCTCACTTAATTTCGAAACAATGATAAATTAAAATAAACCTTTTAGTTGCCAACAGAGAGCGCAGCTTCATGTTTTGTAAAGTCAGTTCTTGATGATCATGATTTTCTACTCGTGTGTTCAGAGCATTCTCCACTGTACGTCGGACAATTTTTGAAAGTTCCGTAAGGCAGTCTGATACTCGAAATACATTACTTTCACCTGAAATGTCAAAAATTTCTGAGCTTTGCTTTATTAAATATGCAAAGATCTGACAAAAAACGACACTCTCCATTAAAGCTCTTGAAATGACCTAAAAAATCCTTACCAGGAACAATTCTTTCTCTAAAATCGCTTTCTGTTAATATGTCATCCAATCTGTCACAAACTAGCTCTTCCTTTAGAAATTTTGCAAAAGATGGTGATATAAATTGACGCTGCAAGTTTAACATTAGACGCGGCGAACGACCACCTTCTGTTTCTGTTCCACTTTCAACACCTTCGTCTAAAATGCAAAAATATAGAAACTGACTAGTTATCCTCCTACACATTCAGCACCATACCGGTTCGAATTTCTCATCTAAAAAACTTTGAGGAGAAAAGGTGAAATTCGAACTAATCTTGTATGTATTCTTCACTTTCTGCATTTTCATTTGCATATTGCCTAAGTTTTTTCATTATTTCGGCCGCATTCTTATCGGCTTCCAGTCCATGCGTGGAAACCAACTGATGGTATAAACGATATAGAAAATCAGCAACAGCAATCATTAAATCCTGAAATTATATGAAAATTTAAAATTAGAAATCAGTACTACGCCTTTTGTGACAAATAACAAAAAGAACACCTGAGCAGAAGCTAGTTTTGCTTGATTTTCTCCTGCTACCATAATTGCAGTGTGCAAATCTGCTTTTATAAGGTCGTACTGTTTACCTCCAGTGACTGCTTTGGATGCACTTTCAATCAGTTGCTCAATCTTTTTTAAAGCATCATCGCACAGCTGCTTCAGTTGTGCATGATCTAAGTCTGGAAAAGACGTCAGTACAAGACATTTGTTTATTTGTAACCAAAATAACAGATTAAGTAGTATTTTCACGGATATAATTCTCGTAAGTTTTTAATGTTCTCAAAAATAAAGCCAAAAATAGTCACAGACCTGGCGTACTCATAACTTCAAGTCTCTTCAAAACAGGGATAACATAACTGACATCTTTCTCCGTTTCTTTTAACTTCAAGGAAAGCTGATCATTCTTTGTTTCCAGCTCAGCCAGTCGTTCCGGCATGTCACCATGTATTTCCGAGAACAGATCAGCACCTTTCGGTGGCCTATTTTTACCAAATTCATTAGAATCCGCAATAAAAGATGATTCCAGCTGCAAGATATAAATATGGCGATGTTTAAACTTAAATCTTAAATAACAGAAGCGCAGCACTTTTGTGCACTTAGACTGCATAACCATAAATAATAAAATTCAATCAAAAGAATTTGAAAAAGATCATGCACCTCTGTAAGTGCTTGTGAGTCATCCTCATTATCGTTCTGCAATCCAAAGAGCATTGTATTCAACTGTTGCAAATGCTCCGCATTTCGCATTAACTCCAGCTCCTTTTTATAGGCTAGTTTTTGATCACGTTCTTGCTGTACGTTTAATAATGCATCTTCAAGCTGAAACATGTGAAATTATAACTCATCTAACTAAAATACTGCTATAACTACATTGTGTCAGATGGAAAACTCAAACTTGAGTTGTGTAAAAAAAAGAACGTGACACGAATGTAAATTTAATATGCCCAACTTAATCCAATTAAAGTAAATTTGACTGAAAATGCCACAAATTATATAAATAATTGCGATGATCAAATTTTTCGGAAACTTCCAACGAAAAGGATAGTATCATGAACTGACAAATGAGACTGGATAGCCACAAACTTGCATTGAATGAGTCAGAAAATTTTGATGATATACTACTATTAATTTCGTTCGAAAACATACAATAATCCATTAATCAAGAAAACGTGATGCATTAAAAGATGATCTGATGAATCAGGTGAATGAAACATAAAATCGGTCGTACATGTTTTTGGGCCACAATAGTCAACTTGTTGGCTTCCTCCTTGTCTGCCTGCAGTTGATCGTTTTCATCCATTAAACGTTTCACTTCCATTTTCATGGATTCAAATTCTATTTGTGCACTGCGTAGGTTTGATAACTAAAAAATCCCGTCAAAACAGAAGTGTAATATTGAAAACTTGCACTACCAAGCATCAACACAATGATGAAATGACCAATACAGAAACCTGTTTCTGAAGGCTGATATTTTCTTCTTCCAGTTCAGAATAATCATTTAGAAGCCTTTGTTCACGATTTTTTAATTCTTTTAAGTCTTCCTTGAGCTGTCGCTTTTGTATATCAAGATCAGATGCTGCTTCTGAAGCATTTAAATGTAAAGTTTGCAACCTATCCAGGTCAGTACGGTACCTGTCCAATTCCTGAAAATATACCATCTCAGTACCAAAACAATTTATCTTACGCTTTATAAAGAAACTCGTACAACCATGCACTAAACCAATTCCATTGGCCGTGCACTCAGTCACAAGGTTCAGAATCTCTCAAAGAACATTTGAGAGACAATTAATAAACAAAGTGAAATCCATTAAAGAAAAAAATTTACATGTTGGCAATTTTTCAAGTCTGTTTCTAGAGCTGCAATTTTAGCCAAATATTCCTGCTCTCGATTCATCGTTTCTTCCAACAAACTTTCTTCATGGTCAATATCGGATTTTGCAACTGATTTTTGTTGTGATTGAAACTGTGCCAAGGCCTAAATATTTTCATGTCAGGAAAGTAATTTAAATATAGAACATGAACCTATTTTGCAAATGAATCTCATTATTCAATTTTGAAGATAGTAAGAATCAATGCCTATAATAACTGCAAATAAAACCTATCAATAAATGAATACTTGGATATGAAATACTATGTGACAAATTTAAAAATGAGTTGGAAAATCCATGTGGCATAATAAATGTTGTTCAACTGGATATTAAAAGAAGTAACCACTGCTCATCCTAAAATAGATCTACTAGTACACATACAAAAGGAAGAATAAAACAAACAAAAGGATTGCGCGAAAGCCACCTTTTTTGTAGCTTCAGCTTCTGCTTTTGCGGTATCAAACTGTGTTTGTAACTGAGTAAGCTTAACTTCAAGCTGTTGCTTTTCATCTAAAACCTGTAACCCATACTGGGCTGCCTGAAATAAAAGAATTCAGAATTTAATGTAAAAAATAAAATTTATCAACTTAAATTCATTGAGAAATAACTGAATGCAAGCAGCAATTACAAGTTTGACTTTTCTGCAAAACATACAAAAAACAAACTTTGATTTTATCAGAAGAAGCTTCCTCAAGAGCATTCGCCAATCGCGATACTTCCGCCTTAAGTTCGTCCAGTTCCATAAAAGAGGTTTTCCACCAGGTCAATCCCAAATTCTGAAAGTATTGAAATGCGAGATTTAAAGCAAGATAGTTCCAGTTTCTTTCAAAACCAACGAATAAAGAAACGCCATTAATCATCTAAAGCTTCCTTTATTTTTCGCTTTGTTTAATGCCGCAAAAACACCACTGAAATGTACTAGAGTAATTGAAGGGCAAATTCACGAACCAAAATTTGAAAATTTTCAGTTAGCAATAGAATCACTACGGGGTAAAGAAAGAAAAATAAAAGTTACAGAAGTGACACAGCAGCAAAAAATAAAGGAATAAAAACATAGTCGCCACTTCTCATGACAAAAAATTATGCAGTTGTAGAAAGCGACAAGTCAAAATGAGAGAACAAAATGTTCCCGTTAAAATGCGGAGATTTACTTAGCCTCTTCTCGACACTCTGTTTCCGTTTCCAATGTAAGCATAATTGAAAAATGTTTGTAATTTTTGCGAGACAACGGCAGACTATTTACAATTCGAGCAAGAAACTTCAAACAAATAATGTCGCAGCTATAATATTTCTCAAAAAATTTAAGAATCACCCCCTGTAATCCATTTGTTCACAGAATATTTCTGTCTTGAATAAGATCAGCAGTTCAACAAAACGGAGCACTAAACAAAACAATTCGCGACATCATTGTAAGATCTAGTCTGTCCATATCGGTTATTAATTTCTATTTTTTACTGTAGGAAGAGTTGATCTAAATAGATATTTTTTTAAATTGAAATCGTATTGCAGAAATATATTGTAGTTTTTTCTTCATTACAGAATTATTACAAAAAAAGCTAGAAATGACTTAAACTAGCAACTTCTAAAGAATTTTCCGTATTCCGTTCAGTTTCACTCATTCTATGCAATTATCATCCTGAGTCCCGAGACCTATAAAGCCTTGTAGTATTTAAGAGAATATATATTAAAAACATGGAGAAGCAGATGATAAAAACACTGATAAAAGTGCCTTTTTATTTTTCATCCTTTTTTTTTTTTGAATTTTTTACTGGAATGTAAGAGTTTTTGAAAAGAAGATTTATATCCTTCACAACAAGTAACTGGGGTAAGGGGAACCTTTTCCTCTGATTATTTGTGATAGTAAGGCGAGATCATACAACATACTAATACATTTTCTCTACAAGCAATCTGCTAGAGTGATCATACTGTTGCTAGAAATGATGAAATTTAAATTGAGGTAAGCAAAAGACGGAAGAGACGAAATAGCGAAGATGAGCAATTGTCAAATACGAAGGAAGACCGCTGCGCGAAGGGTTGAGAGAAAAGAAAGCAGCAGCAGCAGCAGCAGCAGCAGCAGCAGCAGCAGCAGTAGTAGCAGCAGCAGTAGTAGTAGTAGTAGTAGTAGTAGTAGTAGTAGCAGTAGCAGTAGCAGTAGCAGTAGTAGTAGTAGTAGTAGTAGTAGTAGTAATAGTAGTAGTAGTAGTAGTAGTAGCAGCTGTTGCTCCACAGAATGGTAGCAGCGCAATCACTAACGGCCCGCTGATCAGTAAATAAAGATACGCGGATCTTCTGCTACATTAGTTGAATCATGGACTAACGCACCATCAGCCTGAAATATGATACTGGATTTTTTTGAAATATATATAATATTTTTGGAACTCTCTCCCAAAAGAACATTCAACAAATGAAGTAACCCTATTCCACATTCTACATATCACAAGTGACTTCTAAAAAAAAAGAGTAGAATGATAGTTCCAAATTTCAACACTCCGAAGCAAATTTTTGTTCTGAGAACATTTTCAAGTGACATGGATCATCGCAAAGCTTGAAGGAAATAAAACAATTTCAGATAATTTAAAAACAATTCTTTTTTAATTTGTGGAGAAAAATCATTCCTGTTAGGGGTAACAGAAAAGGTTATAACTTCGTAAATACTACGAAAATGCTTCAAAAAATTTTTGCAGGGAGAGACAAGATTTAAGACTAACGAATAATATAATCTTTTTTGGTCGATGTCATATAAACACTTCAATAGCTGCGATATCAAATATTAATCTAGATGAAAAGAAGATGCACTCTTTGCATCCCTCGTAATCAATAGTACAAACGGAAATAGACAGTACAAAATTCTTCGCTTTAAATTAAACCGCCGATGTAAATTAAATTCCTGAATTTTGCAGCATTATGATACTTGCGAAGAGAATTTGCATAAAGTTTCGTTGAATTTCGGGGATCATATTCAGTGTTTTCATTCTGAATTTTCACAAGACCACATGCTACCCATCAGTTATTAATTATTAATTATTGATGTTACATATCAAGACGTCTTTATTTTTCAGTGGAAATTGAAAGCCGGCGTTGATAACTATCATATTTCTCGTAACAAAGTCATAACGAGTGAGCTAAATAATATATAGCCCAGCATAAAAATGTACACATTTTATTCCAAAAAGCGGAATTATGGCACACACACATATATATGCACATACAATGCACACATATACAGTATATAATTTATATTGCATTCCTTGCATATGCTTGTGTATTGTATCACTGCAAGCTACGCATTTCTGTTATGTAGCTTGCGTTTACGACATGACGTGTACCTGGCTACGGGGTATTTGTACCTCATTTCCATAGCTTTTATTTGAATACAACAAATATTATCCGAAACATGACTTATGTAGAAAAACATATTGCATCAAAATCTCAGGAAGCTGATACAGGATTTTTAGTCAGGTCACTAATTTTTTCTAAGATTGAATCGCATCAGATCTCCACGCACATTTGTCTAACATCTACATGAATATAATATACAAATAATATTCTAGTCCGACTCACCACTGTACATTACCAGTTACGACAAACTGCATCCTACATTATTTCGTGCAATTTAAAGTTATTAGCGTAACATGTGACTGAGGAATATTGCTGGAGAGATATAACTAGTCTCCTAGATAAATATTGCAAAATCCAATGTTTATGCTACGTAGGATTACTTCCAGTTATTCGAGCCAGCTCAAGTGCGTAATTCCAACGCACTTCTTTCTTTTCCAGGAAATAAAATAAATTCCAGGTTAAGCAGACAAAAAAATTGAGGAAACAACGAAGCAGACATATGTACATATATAGTTTGATGAAATACAAAATCAGATTCTCCCAAAACTTTTGTTGCACCAAAATTAATAATTTAACTTCGAGCGATACAACCTCAGTAAAAGTTTAATGAAGTCTGAAATTCGACAGAAACAAGAAATTAAAAAGTTCGAAAGCGTGTGAACTGTTTGCAAACCATAAAAGAATGAGGTTTATGACAGTCATGACAACAACGATGCAATGATTGCAGAAACAATGATAATACAAAAGAAGTCAAAACTTGTTCCAATACATCGCGACCAAACAAGAAATCCGGTTTTGAAACGATCTGCGCCAACTAACAAGCATTACGATGAAGTTTGATGCATCTGCTTTTGTACTATTGTCCTTCCCGGTCTAGCAATCGACAGGCACTGAATTACTTCAATGAGGAATCTGTAGGATTGATTTAGGTAAAGAAGTTGTCACTGCAGCTATGAAAGAAGTCATGAGGAAAAGTACATGTTTGTGAATGTGGAGGACCATAAGAACATTAATAGTGTAAATCAGTAAATTCTCGAGAGATCTCATCAGGAAAAAATTGAACATAAATTACGCCCATCAAAAGGATAACAGCCTGGTTATGGGAATAGAATAATTTAGAGCAGGATACACGGAAACACCGCTACACGTCAGTGTGAATAACATTTTGTCTTAAGAAGTCGTTAATGGAGTAAGCAAGAAATGGTCCCTTCTTCATTAAAACATCAATACTTATGCAGTATTTGCACGCGTTATCAGAACTTACGGAATACTGACAAATATACATTTTATTGCAAAATATGTACTAAACCCCATATAACTACCTCTTTACATTTAATGAAACTTGCCTTAATTTCTGAACTTTTAAGCAAATCAGAACATAAATGCTTTGAGGGAACGTGCTGCTAAATTATTACGTAATTTTAATATAGAAATTAATTCACCATCTTTAACAAAACAATTTTTAACAATAAGAGAGCATTAAAATTATGGAGCTTCCAGCAAATACAACTGACGACTGTAAATTTTTATGACTGGAGAGGCACAAACTTGACATACTTATGAATACCAATAAAACAGAGAGAAAACTAGGCAAACTTATAAAAACATAGAACAACAAATATGTATAAAAATCCTCATGCAACGGGTAAATATGATGGAACAAAAAAATAATTTTTTTTTCGTGCAAATGTTTGCAAAACTTCACATCAGAACCAGCTACATCTTACGACTGGAAGAATCAGCAAAGCATGAAAAAAGGATAACGGTAGTGATAACGCTTATAAACCGAATCCACGACAAACAACAGTGAAGAAAAGCAAGAAGACTGAAAATAATCCTATAAGCAATTCCTATAATAGAAAAAAAAAAAAACAATATTAATAGTTACTGAAATCTTTTATAATTTAACCAAGGGAATTAAACAAATATTCTAGAACCATCGACTGAATTATACAAATCGAAAAATAATATTCTTCAAGAATGTACATCTTTAATTTTAATGGAAGTAGTGAGGACAAGAACTTTCTACAGAGCAAAAGATTATTGCAGAAAATTCATCAGAAAATCATGAGAACTATAATCATGACTTCAGACCATCTGTTCTAACAAGGAGAGACACTATATACACAGCATTTAATTAAATAACATTTTGTGGCGGGATAGGTAACAATAAATTATAGAAATATTCTTGTTTCCAAAAACTCGGCATTTTCCAACTGCACCAACCTCTCGTTATTATTGTATGCAAATCCTCATCGCCGGAATAGTGAGGGTCCAAAACCAAAAATGATGCCTCACCTGTTGATTCATTGAAATCAACACCTAGAATCGTATGAGCTAACATACCACCACCTAAAAACTTCCAAGTTTCGAATGCAATTTTCTTTTTTTGAAAAGGGTAAACGATCGAAGTAATTTTGCCCAGCTGTAGAAATGAGCTGAGTGTAAGACTATTATCAATGGATTTTGCATGTCATTGTAAGTACTTTTTAAAACGATTGTTCACAGGTCTGATTCTTGACATTTTATGGAAGCAAAATTACTTTCAAAATAAGGTTATTTTTCTACTCTTGAAACTCACCAATCATAATGGGTGTACCATGTGTTTTAAAGTGAAGTGCCAACTGACGAATATTTCCTGTTACTTCTGTGCCTGAATTTGTCGTAAGCACCCGTGATTCAATGCCAGCCATATTTTCAAAACAGTAACCAAGCTCTATAGATCCAATCCATTGTTGACTTCCCACAAACATCGCATCTTTATCGCCACAATCGTACAAACTCTCAAGTTTCAACCACATTTAAAATTTAGATCATACCTTGAATTTTAGAAACGGAGCAACGACCTACGAAACACGGAAGTGGATCAGTATTGCGTTTCTTTTTATTCATAAGTTAATAATGCAATAAATTTCTAAATTTATACAAGTAAAAGATAAATACTTGCTGAATCTCACGATGCGTTGGAGTAGGTTTGTCGATATAACCTTGAAGAACAAACCAAGACCACAATGTTTGGAAAGAACGATAAGCACAACCCCAACCGCTGTCATTTATCCCGTCCTTTAAAGTACTAACGTTTAACAATGAAAGGAATTAAAAAAAATTTTTTTTTAATTTAATTTTAACTGATACATACTCGAGATTACGATATATCAGTTGATTATCGACGATTTTTAGAATGAATTTGAGCGTTATGTTTTATTTATTATATGAGGTTTTTAATTTTGTTTTGTAAGATATTTATTCTATTTCTTTGTTTTTTTATGCTTATTTTGAATGATGTTTTTTTTGTCATTTGGTTATTTTTTCTTAATATAATTGCAAGCAACTGTTAGAAATTACTGTTAAAATTACATTTTTTTTTTTTCAAATAATTTACCATTTCTATCAACTCAAAAACGTCAATTAATGGAAGAAACCATTAAAGTAACTCCAAATCATCATTTTATATGAATTTAAAACAAACTTGCATGTAGTGGTGGTAGTTATAAGAGCCACTGATAATATATACTTTTCCTTTTGGTTTATCTGTAAAGAACAACAATATTTGAAGAAAAAAGTTGAAGTTTCAACAATTATTCTGCTGAAAGAACAAAGAAAGTCAACCTCTGCCTTTTAATTGCGTAGTTACCGAGTAAAAAAGGAAAAAAGTTTTCCATTGCCTTTAGGACATTACAATAAAATTTTTAAATTAAAAAAAAAAACAACCAGAAAATTTAACTTCCGAAGTTGCAATACCTTATATCATATTGTGAGACACTTAAAAGTAAATATAATTAATGCAAATCACTGAGAAGAAAAGCAAGCAACAGATGATATTTAAAGAAATTAAAAATTTCCAAGAAAAAGAACGACCCCAAGAAACAAATCAAAATAAAATTCTTACAAGATCTGATATGCAAATGAGGATTCTGCAGTACTTTCTGCGCCTCAGGATTAAATTGAAGAGATTGAGCAGGCCTCAAGATCGGCTTGTAAGAGGGTAGATTAAAAATACGATGAAGTCTTGCTCGATAATTTCCTTAAAGTCAAAAAATCTTTAAAAATAAATACATCAAGAAATGAGAAAAGAATTGATATATGTTCTGAACCAAAATAAAAGTTGACTAATTCCTTTCACAAAGGTAGGAAAAAACATACGTAACACCATGTCATCTTGGATATCAGGATAAACCACTGACAGTAACCCATTGTTCGTTGAAAATACACTGCATCTAACATTTGTTAAACGCTAAAACGTTTAGACTGATTAAACATAATTATAGAAATTTTAATCCTTATTACCGATACAGGTGTTAATTAGTCTTGGTCAAAAAACAAAATGATGCAGAAAGAGCTTTCGCGGGAAATAAAAACAATTTCATAAAAAACTATAAATCAATTTGAAGACCTAAAACCAACTTCACAATTAAAATTGAGAAATTCACACAAACACCGTTCAGTAAGATATACTGTCCGTTTCAGTGCTCTTCGCAATAGGATGAGAATATCTGTTGGACCATCATCGGACTGTATTTCAGCCACCGAAGTTATCACGGCTCTCACGTTGCAAAATACAGCAAAATCTACAACTAACTCTTTTCATCCTCCTTGTTAATTTAAAATTTTAACCACAAAATCTCATTGAAACAAGGTAGATCTATCAAAAAAAGCTTATGTTCATAACAGTAGCATCTCTGCATCTCTCCTATACTAGAACTTTTTCACTTAAATAAGCGCAAATCACAAAACCTTTCCTAATTTTTACAATTGGAACAAGCTTCGGTAAAAAGTCACCAGAATTTTTCTTGACCGGTATCATTGGTGTAAAATCTACGAATTTCTGAAAAGCATAGAAATTTAAGCGCTTGAAAAAAGCGCAAAACAAAATTTAAGAATTGTGAAATTTTAAACAACTTCGCAAACTTCGCTTCAAATAACATACCTTTCCATTGGATAAACATCCACTTATTTGTAGCATTTCTTTATTAAGTTGCTTCGCATCGATTACTTCATTTCCACCCAAGACAAAACTATTATTCGAAAATGTGAAACACAGGGACTCAATATTATCCAGTTTCGAAAGGACGGCGTTGCTTACTTCGTCAAGATTTTTCTTGCCACTTATATTTACATTTACATTTAGCCACAGTGATGTCCGGACCAATAAATCATAACAAGATTTCATAGAAGACGGTCTGCAACTTTTAAACATAATATCCCCAAATAGTATCCCAGAAATTAACTTATCAAATAACAAAAGAAATACCGCAAAGCAATCTCTTTATTCAATTTCAAAATGCTATCAACGTCTCGAACTTCGAGTGATGTTGTATCAGCAAACAGCATCAAGAATCCTTCCGTGCTTTCTACAGATACAGCTAATGAATTCAGATCGTAAGGATATTCCACATTAATGAGGGACAATGTACCGAGAAAACTAACATCTGAAAATCGGAACTATACGATTTATTCTTCAACCGATCATCGCTTGACTACGTGCTGCATTTCATACAGTGATGTACGGAGATCATCTATAAGCTTAGTATCGAGAAAAAAATAAAATTATCCTCAAACAACCTCTAAATTGTGGCAGCCAGTCGACTGATACCACCCAGAAATCATCTTTACCTCCTGACATCCGTTTTCTGTGTTACACTTTTCAGACTTACTTGAAGGTAATGAACTTTCAATGAAGCGTATCAGATCCAATGTGGCATCAAAATCTGATAAACAACCAAACAAAACGTTTGTTATTTCTGCCAACGAAGTATTACCGAACAGAAGAGCAGCAACGGTGCTCTCTTGATATCTACGGTTGTTAGTATAATTCTATAAGTAAAAATATTCTAAACAGTAACATTAAGGAACTACATCAATTTAATTTACCTTAAAAAAAAGAAGTCTGATCCTACTCAAATAACCGTTAAGATTTAAAATTCGTAGCACTGTATCTCTGCCATCTGAAAAAAAGTTGGCATTACCTCAAACAAACGATTGAAATCGACTTTCCACATCTGAGTTCCTAACGTGGAAGATTCCCAACCACACTGTATAACGACGTATCGAGAAGATATCTGAGTAAATGAAATTAAATTTAAGTTTAATACAACCTTCACAGAACGAATCATTCCTTTCTCCCATATTTACCAGTTTCTTTAATTTAAAATTAGCGTATGAGGACAGCTAAACCTCATATATGATGTCAAAATATCTTAGCTATGTATTCACAATGTACAAAGCATTCGCCAGACATTAGGAAGTGTTTGGATTTTTAATTAGCTCCAAAAATTATCAAATATTGAAAATTTCTTCATACACCTTCGAGTCCACACTAATTTACCCACGAATTAGTTCATGCTAATATACAACTTTATAAACATGCAGGAAATCCAGAAACAATCGACATTTATAGCATAGCAGATTCAATTTAATGAGCATTCACTGCTTGATTGTTAGCTTACAAGAATAACTTCTACGGAAAGTATCATTACTTGTCATCACTACACCTTGCAAACGTAGATTGAGTAATGATGTGGATGTTAAACACCTACTGCATGCAACACCAACGTGTTCCATTAATCTCATGATTCTAATATTTTACGGTTGATAACAAGTAGGTTTATATATTCAATATTTGACGTTAAAAAAGTTTGTAAATTTAGATATCGGACTCCGTCTACTTATGACGGTTTTTTGGTGAACAATAAGACACAGTAAATAAGAATATGTAGAAAAAAAAAGTGCCACAATATTTTACTAACCATAAACTGAATACACACTGCAATAAAACTATCACACTATAGCAACGCTGTGAAAAGCAATGAATAGTAGTACAAATGAAACAATAATGAATTCTTTTGAGACACAAAAATAAACACAAACAAATTAAACCCCAGAAGATATTAAATTTAAGGAAGAGCGCATCTATTAATGAAACATGATAAAAATAGATATTTGTCTTTTGACGTGAAAAACGTTAAAATCTCGGGAAAAAATTAAGTGAATTAGATATGAGCAATGCATTCCATTAAAATGGTTTACGAGTTACCAAAGCTCAGATTAAGAATTATTTATTAAAGTCATATCATTTTGAATGTCCACGGATATATCGATCGTAAGGTTGCAGATGGAAAGATTTTCGAAATGACCAACCAGTGGAATGCATTAACGTATCACAGTTGCACGGTGTTAGACCTATACTAGTACTGTTAAACCCTACGCTAATACTAGTTATCATAGAATTAATATAAATTCCACGATATAAACGACTATCACTAAAATAACAGATAGAGAACAAATGAAAAAAAGGATAAAAATAGTGAACTTTTAAGATAATGTTACTACGCATTTATCTTTTCACACTACTGAAATCGATGTTTATCTTGAAAAAAACATATGGATAATAATCATGCATGCCCAATGACATCAGTATTGGATTATCTTCGATAGCCTGAAAAAGATATGCGGAAATTCTTTAATTACTCTGGAACTATAATGAATATAATTCAAAAAATTACAAATTATTCAATAAACATAAAAAACCTCAATTGGACCAGCGGCAGATGTATCCAAATGCAAATAAAGATTATGAAGTGATGCTCGCAATTTCTTATGCGAATTCTTATTTGGTTCTATGACTGTTGCTTGGAAGTTTACGGGCAGACCATATCTAAAAAACTAAATGTCAGTATGTTAAGTATGATAAAAAAAAAACTTTTTTTCTCTTTAAAGTAAATGAAATTTTAAAAAACATTAAAAAAAACTATTCCGTATAAAGGGCAGTAACAATTTAATGTTGCAATCCCTTTCGACTAGTCATCAAATGATTAAAGATATAAAGAAGAGAAGAAATGAATAACATGTCAGTTTAACAGAATAAATCTAATCTACATCAAAATCACTGATACATCCATTTTTCAAGTTTTCATGATCGGAAAAATAATCTCAAGTTATTCACCTGAGAACACTTTCAACAAACACTCGTAATGCTTTAACATGAACAAAGGCAGAAAAAATTTCGCCAAAATTGATTTTCAGCCATCGAACAAGTGGAGCATATTGACGCTGCTTCTCTTGTATCAATTTATCCCGTTCATTACGACCTATTTTTAAGGACTCCTCATCGTAAACGAAATCTCGGACAATGAACCTGAAATAAGATGCTATAATAAACACTGATTTGAAACTTCTATTTTACCAGAAATTTCAAACAGTAAAAACTGGATTGACAGGAACAAGAAAATACAGTTTTCTCAACTTACTTGTTTTCTCTGCAATGTGTTTTATATTCATCGATTACTTTTTTGAACAGCGTAACAGAGAATAACATCTGATCTCCATCTTCGGTAATTAAGCGGCTCGATCCAGGCACTACCATATCAGACAATGTTTCATACTTCTGCTGCCATTCCTTTGCCAATGTTCTGTTTAAAAAGAAGTGCAAAAAACTATGTACGGCTTTATAAGCTTGTTTTATAAACTGAAATATGTTAAAGTAAAAGTAAGTAACTCAAACCATTAGATCGGTATTGCTTCTATCGAGATTTCTCTATTCGTTTCTACGAAAATAAAAAAGAAAAACCATATATTCTAAAATGAAGCTTGTACCTTTCAAACTGTAAAAGCGTTAATAGTAATAAAAGTTTTTTTTTTAAATGAAGCAAAGGAGTACAACTGGAGAAAACATAAAAAGGTAGTGGAACGTACTTTGGTATAACCACTAATAACGTTTGTAAGTATTCTGAATTGAGGATAAAATCATCAGCTTTAACGATTTCTGACAAATCTTTCGTCAACAAACTGCCCCTAAAAAGCGTATCTGACATTTCGATGATTAAACGTTAAAGATATTTTTGCTTTTTGCTTCTAAACTAATTTCCATACCGACTTTCAAGACGGCGTCACTCATCCCGAATATATCCTTCCTTACCCATTTGCCAGTTCAATTACAAACACATACTTTCCCTTAAAATACTATGCTGTTCTCGAACAGTAAAGCTTCTACTGGTTACTAATTTCAATGAATAACAAAAGTCAAATTATGCCTAAAACGTACGTTGCTTTTCGATCGATTGTTGCAAGACTATTCTTAAGATTATTATAGGTGGTGGATTTTGTCTTCAAATCATTATCAATCTGGGTGATTTGCTGAAAATCAAAGTGTCATCTTTTGCAAAAGGATTTGTAAATTTGACTTCGAAAAATTGATTTTACCTTTCCGATGATATCGCTTAGCACTTTTAGAGATTGCTTCAGAGGATATTTTGCACCTTCCCACTGGAACTTGGTAACATAAGTTTTCACGTCCTCTGAAAAATGAAAGGCCAAATATTTGGAATGAGGGTGCTTATAAACTTGGAAATTCCTACGCAAGTAATTAAAGCAACTTAACAAAGAATGGATAATTCTGTTTGGAACTCAATCAGATGATTAAATTTAAGCTTACTACCACTGACGACAAGATTTTCCTGTAATTTGTCCTGCTCATTTTCTAGGACATCAGCAAAATACTGCGTTAGCTTCCGCGTCACTCTAAAACAAAAACATCAGAGATAGATTATAGTAATGCAAAACTGCTAATGGCGGAACAACAGGGCAAAACAAAATCACACACGTACTGTTCTGCAGCACTATCCAATTTGGCCAAATCATCAGATAAACCAACCAGCTGATCCAGAGTCCCAACCTGTAATTAAATTTAAGTCAGCTTATCAACAACCACTATCAATATCATCTCCAAATTCTCAAAAACTGAGCTGTAAATACTGAAGCATAATTATGAGAATTCCCATCAGTTTAAGCATTCCTTCCAAAACTCAGCAAGACATCACCTTCACAAACATACACGGTAATACGGCGATCAGGAGTAAACTAAGCTTGCACCAAATTAATTCTCTCAAGCCCCAATCTTTTTTCTGCTTCTAATACAAACAAACACTACTTGGTCAGGATGCGTATGAAGCGAAAGATTATCCTCTATTGACACAAATGATTGGAACCACACGACATAAAAACAAAACACACTTTGAGATCAGGGACATTGAATTTATAGTTGACTGACATATTCCCAGTTGTCCGATTCAATTTATCCCATGTTTCCTGAGGCGAACCCTCATTCGGTGCTGAAATCAACCACAGCTCTCCCGCAACAAAAGACATCGTGCCTGTAACGTCACGATGTAACCTAATGTGGATTTCAATAGAATGATATAAGTGGCACTGACAAACTGACTGAGCTTCATCGTCCAGCTGATACTCCTTCCTCATATAAATCTTACAAACCGCATTCCCACTTGCCACTTCCAACACCTTACCACAAAACATTCTGGACAACCAAAGATCAAATACGGTAGTAGGGAATCGTTATGAAAACCACGAAAGTGCTGAATTGTATCCACAAAATGACACTTAACACCCCATGCTCAAGAATCTAGAAACATTTCAGGTAATAGTAAACACGTGAACAATATTTCACGCGAAACTCCAGCCAAACCGCACAAAACGTCATCCACAGCACATCACCACTACCGTTACTCACACCCTAGTCTTCCATACTCCTGATAGTGCACTCTCCTTGCACCTTTAAATTCCCAGACAAACCCGATAGGAACCGGAAATTCGTCACAATCTCGATATATTACTGGCTACAAATCTCTTGTTTCTCATTCCAAATAATTCGATGTCTCATGATGAGAACTCCGACTTTGGAAGTACTCAAACACTCTATCCCCCTAAAATCTTTTACCCCACTTTATATGTAATGGGAAATACTACTACCACAACGTAGCTTTTGATATGTAAACAAGCAAAACAAAAATTTTGTGCTCAACAACATGAGAAGCATAAAGCATATCTTAATATCTGGTGTTTTTAACAACCGTTTAACCTAATTTTGAAAAACTAAACAAAAGTAAACTTCAGGAACGTAACGTATAAGACAAAAAAAAAAGTGGCAGGACTTTAGAACTACACAATATGAAGCGTTTTTTTTAAATGATCGTTTAATAAAACATAAAGGGAGTATGACGTTATACAATGTGTCAAACAATTTAACAGAACCAATCTTTAGTTTTGAATACCTGAAATAAGCACAACAGAAAAAAAACAACGCAAAACATTCTACAGATGGAACAATTTTACATCTAAGCAATTGATAATGCTGCTGTACAGGAAAAAGACCGATACAGTGGCATATCCGAACTTTATTGAAACAATCAAATATATGCCTAATCATCAAACTTCATCCTTTTATTTCTGATTGTTTCTGAATGTCCACCAAAACTTCGTTTATGGCCGAAATCAACTCCTCGCCCTAAAACCGAATGATTCAGTAGGCCTACAAAGTCTCTGTTATACTGTCAAGAAAAACAATTTCGATACCAGATGCACCTATATCAACATCCGGGTATCACAGTTACTCTTCATTATTTGTCTACATTGATTTCTAAGTTTTTTCATTTCGAAATTGCCAAGCTCACTGCCTTAACGATAAAGACTGTGTATTTACCTCTTTCTCGAAAACCATTGCCTCGACCATTCCGTTCTCCACCACCTCTGAAACTTCCACGACTGCCACCTCTAAAACCGCCTCGGTCGCCCCCATTACCTCGATTACTTCCACCATTCCGGATCAATGAACCTCCTCCTTTACCTTGAATAACAGTTACAAATAAAACTAGCAATAGTTAGAATTAATGGAAAAACATCAATGTAATTTAAAAATGAATCTTACCACGAAATCTACTTCGATCACTGCCACCACGACCACGACCTCCTGAAACAAAGATTCATGGAGAATCGTGTAAATTTATGACCTCAAAAACTCATATTAAACTCCACTGACCGCAGCTGCTAAAATTTATGGCAATGCAATAGCTAAAAATGTTTTCTAAAAGACTGGCTAGGCTAACCGCGTCCAGTTCCACGTACTTGTCCTTTCCCTCGTTTATTTGCACTATTCGGCAAGAATCGTTCAATAGGTAAAAGTCTTCCTGAATCAATGAACAATTTTTGTGCTTCTTTGAAAGACGAAGCTTTGATACCATCTTGCAGTTTCACAGTGAATCCCTGAAATCTCGTCCCATTTTGTATTAAATGCTACCGGTGGCATTACCACGAAACAAACAAAGCCGGGCACGGCTATATATGGAAGAACTAAAATTAGCTTATAAAACTAGCATTTTGTTGCACACTACTAGTGTTAAGACTGCCAAGGTTTGGAAATGCTTAAAAAGCTATTTGCATTTTTTTTATTTGTCTCCTAATCTATTTGCAATTTAAGTAGTACTTGCCGTGAATTTGTAGTAACCACCCACTTTAAGTATTACAACATGTAAAAACATACACTGAATTAAGATACACCAATTAAATTTAATAAATAAGTGGCATACGTACATTGTCTTTAATACCACCAAAGATCTCATCAACTTTGCCAATTTGTTCTTTGTTTTCGAAAAAGATCGCAGCATTGAAATAAGGAATTTTGCCCGATGTGTTGTGACAAACGATATCATCTTCACATGTATGCGTGAAATACCCTATTTCTATAAAGAAATATTACTAGAACAAACAGTTGTGCTATTCAATTAAACAAAATGTTCTGTCAGAAAAAATAAAACCAATCCTCTGCCATAATTCCTTCAGCGATTTGGTTCTGCTTAATTAGAGGAAAATTTTTCTCGTGACTTATAATAGAAGGAAATAATGAAATGAAGATGCCTACGATTTGTTTCTTTAACGTATAATGATATATCATATCCACCCGCATGATTCAACATACTTGCTGGTGGAAAACAATTTGAATTATTTGTTAGTAATGAAGGAATAGTTACTTACCAGTCACTTGTTCCGGAGGACCTTGATCATAGCCACTACTGCGATTACTTCCGCCTCGGCTTCCTCTCCGTCCGCCATGCCCGAAATTCCTAAACCCGCGGCTACTGCCGCCACTTCGATCTCGAGACGACATTTTCCGTAGTGGGAAGTGAAATAGAATTTGGTACGAGAAAATTCAACAGATAGTGAATTGAAGAACTTTTTCTCCACAACTTACTGCGAGTATTGCAAAAAGAAAATTCAAACTGCTTACAAGCTTTACATAATGTTGAAAAAATAAATGATAAACAAGGAAATGAGGTTCACATCATAAAAACTCTCGCCCAGCATCTTTATTCCCTCCCACCTGTCCCGGTAGCCCTACCCGAGCGTTTCCTACCCGAGATCCCCCTTCTCAAGTGCTTTTCTGTGAAATCGTTTTAACAGGGACGCGACATGACTGCTTTTCATCCCACGAGTTCCCGTAAGCCTGGTTACTGGTTACTTGCCATGTTTTTCAGTGGTAGAAAGTGAGAGACTAGTGCTCCTTTTTTTCATTTCCTTTTCAGCGTCTTAGTTAGGTACAGGCGATGTGCGACAGTGAAGTCTCCGTAAAAATTGCAAATTTGCTTTTCAAGTTAGGACGTATGTATATAGACTATCAGTGAAATCTGTGATTTTCAACAGATTTCGACGACCCCGTGAGCATTATCTGCTTTACGCAATGTACTCACATTGCTATTCTCATTTGAGTATCCCGACTGGTAATTGTGAAATCATAATAGAAAGGTTTGAACTTGAAAAAAATGCGTTTTTTTGAGCAGATTAGTGTCTAACTAATATATGGCAGTGGTCTCAGTATCAGTAAATAACTAATCCAGTGGATTTCCTGCATTAAATATTGAATTGAATTGGTTTCTAAAAAAGAATCCATGCGAGGCTCGAAATGGCATCCATTCCACAACGTCTCACCGCGTCAAATTCCCCACTCCAGGATATTCAACAATCTTCAGCTACCATCCTCAATAGCAATGAATCAACCAGTAGATCGAAGAATAAACCTTGTGGTCAGTGTTTCTCTGCATTGAAATTTCAGTTTCTTCATCTTATTGGTTGTTTATTGAGCCAGTTTATTTCTAAGCATACTTCTCCGCAGCCCATATCAGAAACAAAGCATATCACAATTTCATTCTGTGCCTTTTAGCACTTATTAGTTAAACAGCTGCAAACACTTCGGTTGCACATACGATGAGAGTGATTCAATACTGCAAAGATTCAAATTTTGCTCTAACAATAATCGAACTGGATATCTCTTCTGCACATTAATTCATTGAGTTGATGTAGCATGTATAAAAATTAAATTTGATATTTTGATTATCCTTTTCCGTAAAAAGTTGAAGTTTGTGAGCAGGTCACTGTTTCGTTGTGACCATTATTTTTTTGTACCAAGAATGGATTTTCAGTAAAACATAACACATGCAATATAACGGCATTGGGTACGGGAACGATCTTTTTTAAGCACTAATTATAAGCAACTTTTTTTTGAATTTTGAGGTGTACAACTTTCTTTGAAAAATAATTCTTCTTACTAAAAACAATATCAATATTTTCCTTGACTGTTTGGTGACAAATGAAGTTCGTTGTGATAGACTTTTCTCTTTTCTTCAGCGCGCTTTTTATATACTGGAAAGGGCTTTTTCATATCCACAGAGACTTTTGGAGTAGTAAGGTGAACTCTATGTATTGTTACCTATTGAAATAAAGTAATCACTGGAAAGTGGTAAATTCCAGTTAGTAGTGGTAATGAGATACGGACTGCGTTAGAACAGCACACAAAAATTCCCTTTTAAAAGAAAATTAATGAAAAAGGCAGTAGGAATAGTCTATAAGGGAAATGTAGTGGGATTAGGCTATTTATTTACAGACATACATGCGGCACCAACTTATACTTGTTTTTCATGAACATTTCGTACTTGTATATAATTGCAGCTTCATCGAATTTTTAACTGCTGCATTTGAAATTTCTCGTGGTTTTAAAGATTGAAGGTTGATTTTAATGACCAGTTGCACGGGTCACATTGCCGTCGTTTCATTACCGAAATACAAACCTTTTAAATTTATAAAAGATGACAATACTGTGAGATTTATGTTGTTCAGTTCTTCATATTAGATGGGAAGTACTTTTAGTGTATTCTGGAATAGTGCATGTTGGGCAGTAATTATTTGTTTAGCTAAGCTACATTCCATTGTTAATGTGGATTTCGATTACATTTCCCTTCTGTAATGTTTTCAAAAAGGAAATATCAGGTTAAGGAACACAATTTATTTGGTTAGTTCACTCTTCAGTTTTGTAACTTCCTACCATTTCTGGTGTACAGTTTTAATGACGCAATTTGCAGATACAAAACTTCGCCAACAAAAATTACCTGCTTGGCAGCCCATACTAACTGCATCAGCAGTTATACCAACAGTTTTTGGCATTGGCATTGTTTTTCTGCCTATTGGTGTTGCTTTACTATTAGCTAGTCAAGGAGGCAAGACATTATCCTAATTTGATTTTGTTAGTATGTGATACAATTTACCATCATGAGGTTGATCTTCGTTGTATTCAATTTCCAGGAAAGAGGTAAATTGACAATCATAAACTCGAAAAGGGCAATAATCACTAGTTCTTAATCGCATTATTCTTAGATGCAGAGATTGTTTTATAATTCGTGTAAGACTTAAAAATATTGGATACACAGGTTGAAATTAGTATTATTGTAGTGAAAGAGTCGATCACAGATTATACATCTTGCAGTGTACCTTCACATGAGTCTTGTGACTTCGTGATTAAACTGAATAGCGATTTTCAGGTTTCTACTTTTTTTTTTTAACTTCTTTTTGTTTTATATATTTCCGTTATGTAGTTTAGTGATTACTCAGACTGCCAACCTACTTGATTGATTATGCATCCTAAATTAATTCCAGGGTGATGTTTATTTTTATTACGCATTGGACAATTATTTTCAAAATCATCGGCGGTATATGAAAAGTCGCAGTGATAGTCAGCTTCTGGGTGATCTTCAGGTAGGCATTTTTGCAGCTTGAAGTATGGCAAAAAAAGACACAGAAATTAATGCAGTTCTTCATAATCTGGATGCAGAGTTGGGAGTTAAAAAAATGCAAAATTTCAGAATGTAGGTGACTGTGAGCCATATGCATATTTGAACACGTCATCAGGCCTGAAAATTATTGCTCCATGTGGTGCAGTTGCCAATTCCATGTTTAATGGTTAGAAAAGTAGTTCGAACTTTTTTTTTTTTAATGTTTCCTTTTTAAACATCAGTTATCGCAATTTTTTTTTGTGTTCGTCCCAGAAATTTCAGATTCTTTCACATTATTTCGTAACGACAACAATGAGTCAGTGCCTTGGACATACAAAGGTGTTGTTTGGCCGGTTGATAAGAACAGAAAATATAGGAATCCACCTGGAAAGGATCTTAAGCAAGCTTTTGCGGTAGATTTTTCTTATTTAGGTGAAATATTCAATTATAATTCTGTAACTGCGTAGTCTCGTTTGATAATGTGTTTACGAATTTTTATGATTTTAGAATACTGTGAAACCTCCTAACTGGCGAAAGGCAATATATGAATTAGATCCGGACCATTCTGACAATAATGGCTTTTTAAATACCGATTTCATCGTATGGATGAGGACAGCAGCTTTACCTGATTTTAGGAAACTGCATCGTATTCTAGTTCGTTCCAAAAATTCAATATATAAAAATGGCTTACCTGCTGGAACATACAAGCTTATGATCAAGAATAGTAAGTTATTTTTGTTATGAAAAATCTATTAGTTTTGTAGAAAGTGATGCAATGCGGTGGTGAAGTTATTACATTCAGATGGTACGTTAATGTCTCCCATCCAAGCCTATCTTTTTCTAGTTTTTCAACTCTTATCCTATTCTTATCGAAAAGCAAACAGTGATTATTCAAATTTAATACATTAACGCTATACGGCGTATTATGTGGACATCGTAAAGATTAAAAACTTCTGTATTTTTTGTCTTTGTCATTGCGTAGGCTATTAATGTCTGATTTAGTGGAAGCGTGTTAAAAGAATTTTCATAATGGTTCTATTTTGCTTTAATTATTACTGCCAAAATGGCGGAGTGCCGGCAGTGTTCGACTGCCCTTTAATGTTATCGCATATTTATATTCTTTCCCTTGTTAAATATCAGATCCTTTCTTTTCTTTCGAGTCGCAATATGAAATGAATTTCAGATTACCCAGTAACAGTGTTTGGTGGTCGGAAATATTTTATAATAAGTACAACATCTTGGGCAGGTGGTAAAAGTGGATTTTTGGGTATTGCATACATTACCGTTAGTGGCATTTGCGTTTTATTCGGTTCAATTTTCCTATTAATACATCTGAAATTCGGCACATCGTAAGTTTATTATCTGTTAGAAATTTTTATATTTAATACTCGAAGTTTTCATGTTCAGGAAGGGGCAATGCATTCATTACCTTTCTTTTCTTTTTTTTCTATCTAATAATTTTGAGTTATATATAACTTTTACAGGTCGAACGAAGCCGGGAGCATTTCTCAAATCTCACGGTAGTTTCAGTTATTCTGATTCTTCACTTTTGTATTCATTGTCGCTACAAGAAACAATCTGTTTCATGTTCCGTCATTTACTATTGCGAACTACTCGAAATAAAACATCTTTCATGAATATTTCTCCCCCAAATAGTCGTAATAGAATGCGCCGAATAAGATACCATGAATTGTGGTAAGTACACATCGCAAGTAGTTAGGTAAATTAAACTAATTACTTCGTTTTGTAAAGCTCTCTACCAGTTCATGACGAAGAAAGTAAGTTTTCTTTTGTTTCGTTCTAAATATTTTCATCTCTTTGTTTCTAATGTAAGACCTTCCTATATTTATTTTTATTTCGAGTTAAATTCTGCTCTGTACTGTTTCTTCCAATGGAATTGGGTAATTCTTTAGCCGGATTCATGTTTTTGAATTTTTGCATTAAGTATTCAGATTTTATTTGATTTCTTTTTTTGTCGTTTCCAAACTATCGAATGTTGAAGTTCGAAATTGTAAAATTGCCGTACTGTGTTGAGTACATTTTTGTAATTTTTTATGCTTTATATTTGCGCTTATCAAGTTATAACTTTTCCAGAAATTGTGTGATATCAGTTGAATGCGCTTCATTCCAGATCCAGTTTTTTTGTTTCATATCGAAATGGGACTTTTCTCCATTCGTTTTCTCTTCTTTCTTACGAAGTGCATTTATATAGAAACTGTTTACCATATATTTGATTAATTCATGAAACTTTTACTGGATGGTACTGTATTTGTATGGACCTACTACGTAATATCTTCATTGGAAAAAAAAAAAAGTTTTATTTATTCTGGAGGCGTTTCACCAGCGGATTCTGCAGTACCAGTCTTCAGAATATCTTGTCGACAATTAAACATATTTGAAGGACATCAAAACAAAAGAATTTTGAGCTGCTTATAGCACTGTTTTTACTTTAAAGTTGATTTTACCAGTAAGTGTGCTCAGCAATCCATCCAAATTATGATTCATTTCAAAAAACTATTAAGACTTATTTGATTTTTCTTAAAATGTTCATGAGTCATATGCATGATTCATTTAAAAATTGGTTATTGTTTCAGAGCTTAGTATTATCGACTGTCAAATACATTGCTGTTTTTTATTTCATCGGTTTTTAGCATACAACAGTACTATTCCCTGATGAATGAAAACCGAAAAATTTTTGTTAACCATATCAAACTAAAAAATAATATTAGATTTCCAGTCATCGTAGAAAACTGCTATTACGGTCATCATTAAAGACTGTTAATCAAGGTGAATGATTTTTCGATTGAGGTAAGACTGGACTTGAAAAGAGTTTTGACTTAGCTGTGTCAAGGAATTTCATCAAGGATAGTTGAATGATAGTGCAGACTATCCATTTTGGAAAAAAGACGGAATGTTTGCATAGCTGTCTGTTGCTATATTATCTCATTTTAGATGCTTTGATTTCGTTCTTGGATCTTAATGATAGAATTGTTACCCATCAAATCATGAAAGACCACGTTTGATTAAATGAAAATTTAGGATAGCTTTACACACAAAAAGTACATTACTGCAATAAAAAAATTGGTTCGGATCTCAGAAATCAGTCAATCTAATCTGATACGGCAAACTTTTAATTTTTTTCCAACATGTTTTCCAAAATTCCCAGAATACTGTGTGAGTTTTCCTCCCTTCATGCATTCTGTTGATTGTTTTTTATGTTACCAGGTGCATCGCGAGGCTTAATATACCATTACAATGCATTATTTCTTTCTTGTTATTAACTGGTAGAGTGTTATTTCAAGTTTAAACTAACGCTTGATACCATTTGAGTAAAATATTTTGCTTTAAAAAATAAGATACATTGGATCTCTTTATTATGTAAAATATCGTCTGATGCGATAATACTGGCTGTTTTTAAGTGAATGACTTAGCATGAGAAGCTAAGCTGCTTTCTAATTTTTTTTCTTTTTTTTTTTTTTTTAAAGAAAAGTATTCCTTCTGTTCACAATGACGAAATGAACATTGATAAAAGGAGTCAGGTTAGAATCAAACTGAAATACATAAATCTACATAAGTCAGTGTTAACTCGACATATTTCGAGTTATATGTATTTCGTTGGGATCCTACTTTCCAAATAATTATCACAAAAATTGAGTTGGTATCACCCATAGCAGCAGCACTTTACATGGTCGGAATTTTGTTCTGTCAGCTCCAAAAACTGTCCTGTCAGAGGGACGCGCAGATCTGCAAAGCGTTACGACGATCTAGCAAATAACACCTATCCTAACATTCAGTTGTTAAAATCAGAATGACGGATCCCAATTATTTGTTTGCCTCTAACAGTTCTATTTCTGATAGCTGATGTCATTCCAAAAAAAAAAAAAAAAGCATAAAGTTGTTGAAATTCATATGTTGGACAACAGACTGTTGTATAAATGACCGTCTCCAAATAAGCGCTCACTATTAGGCAACAGTTTGAAGTTGTGGACTTCAACCGTTTTTTTCAAAGATTTTATTAAATATACCACATTTTTGGCGCTTGCAGCCATCTGCAAGGGAAGATGTCGAAGATAAACTGGGGGTCATAAAAAACAAAATAATGGAAATTGAATTCATGGTTAAGGTGAATAATTTAAAAAATCACTTTTAATCAGTTCGGCTTTTTAACTGTGGCTTTGAGACTACTGGTTTGTATGTTTTTAGTTTAATCGTGAAGGTTCAGACATTCCTTGTGAGAATTGTGAAAATTGCGAAGTATTTGCCATCAATTTTATTCGCATTTGGCACTGAAAGACTTCGTAATTACAAGTCGAAGACATAATGCTGCATGAAAAGACAAAATGGTCTGGGGAAACATTGGATTCGATTACTGTATATTTTTCTTCCTAGTCGATATCTAATAATCAGATCGTAAGAAACTTCGGTGAGTTTGCTTTTAACTAGAAGCTGAAGACGTATACAACCGTTGCACAAGAAAATTTTTAGATCTTACTAGCAAAGTGTTGTGTTTTGTTTAGGTGACAGTAGATTACATCCGAACTATTACTCTGATATTGCCGGACAATTCTAAAACTTTATTTTAATTCATACTTTATCTCCTTTTAGCATTAAGTTAAAGAACCTCAGAGAATGCGTCATCCAAAATCTTTGCAATTGTTTTACTGCATGAATTCATCTCAGTCCAAACAGCATCCATCAAAGCCTGTAACATCTTCCAAATCAGTACGTTTTTCCTCCCGAATACTAATAATATCTTGCTTGAGCATTTATTCACTAACTTGATACTCCCTGCAACACTAACAGTGAAAATGAATTTCTATGGGAGATATGCAACGCAACGATGCCCAAATCCTCGCGTATATTTATTTAACTGATATAGCATCAGTTGTCTTGAACTTTTGTTAATGCAACCTACCCGTATGAATCGGTGGGCACTGCACCTGAGACACCTTTGCTAGTATAGAGGAATCTAAATTGTTAACGTCTTGGCCTTCTTACAGCCACCACCATCACTTTCATTCGCATCACTTTTGTAATAATCCTTGCATACCTCTTCCTCCTCACATCCAAATTTAGCACTTCAGAATGCATATTGTATGAGTTCGAGGATGCAGACTCGCACGCAAACAGTCTGTGTTCATCAGAGATCTCCGTGTGGGAAGTGTTTCAGATAAGATAAATGTAGATTTGATGTCTCATGATGAATGGACGCAAATATCATTTTAAGGCAGTAAGTAAAGTTCGACTCTTCTCCGGTAATTCAATTAAATATAATTAAATAAATTGATATCCAAATAATTAAAAGGCCATTTATCATATTTGGGTTTTTTTCGGTAGTCCATGAATTTTGCCTGTAGATATATGCCTTGCTGAATAAAAGACTGAGTAGGAACTAGAGGAAAGGGGAAATAACAAGTATGAGTGAAGGAAGTACTGGGGATTATTACCTCTTCAGGATGAACAAGGAAGAACTAGGTCTGGAATTAGGAAAGGACGAAGTATTGCAAGTTATTATTTCTTCCAAACCATGAAGTTAACAAAATTGTAGCTTCTTCCCTTATATTACTATTTGCGAGAGTCCTGTACTTGTTTCATTGCAATATTAATATTAATAAGCTTGCTCTTACACTTTCACCATTCCGACAAACCGGTGTGCTGTGTGTTGAGATCACACAATCGGTTGTGCACAGTGCTTCGCTGACAGTATGTTTCGGGATTCCATCCTGCGAGCACTGAATGATATTATTTGCTTTGTGTTATTTCGCTTTTCTTACTCCGAGTATCAATCTGGGTTTCCACATTTTCCTAGTTGCATTATTTTATACCAATATAATTTCTATACAAGTTTAATTTTTATATATACATATTAAACATCTGTGTAGACTTTGTGAACAGAACTCTCTACGAAGCATAACGGTGAGTCTCCGAACATATATCCTAAACAAAAAATTACATTTGGCATAGTTTAACAATGAGCGTGATGGAGTTTCATGGAAATGGCACAATATCTTTTCAGAAACATTAAAGAAGCAGCATGCGATGCACCGCTTGATGCAGGAAAAATACAGCAAAGATATTTGTATGATCAGTACCGAACCTGATTTGTAATTGCGTCACACGTAAAGGTGAATCCATCATCCTATTTTACATGTAACTACGACATGCGTTTATGGTTCAAAACCTTATTATCGGGATGATTTTACAGTAGAAACGTCGTGGGTGGTCGTCAGCACAACGATGCGTTGACAATCTGAGACCACCAAAGATGTTTGTTGCAGTGGCTAAGTTGCCGAAGGTTGTCAATATTTTATCTTTGTAGACGGTAATTTTCATGACACTCTTATATATTAGCTTGTTAATTTCGTAAAAAAAAGGTGGTAGGACGAGTGAGGTGCTGGCATGTTTGGTAGGGTTTGCTGGAGAAAGAACTCATGATTATTTTTCCACTTGCTTTTTCACGTTTTTTTTTTCGGGGCAGTGATGTTTATTAAGAATAGGCTTATATAGGTGGTGTTCGCATAGAT